GTTTAGGTAATATGGATTGTTTTTGTTTTGTTAGCTTATATTGCTTGCAAGCTTGCTATAATAGCAAGTTTGCAAGCTTGACGGCAGCCTTTTGACTTTTATTTTCTTTTTTTATTTGTTATTTTATTATTATGTTTATAATATAAAATGAAATTGATATCATTTTTATAAGTGAGAGAGTATTAGAAAAATGTAGAGAAAATAGTGAAAATTTTACAAATTTAATGATATAGATGTAAAATTCACTTTTAAAAATAAGAAAATATTACAGGGATAGGCCTAGGAGTTGTAGGAGTAGACGTCAGTATATGGCTGGTAATTTCGGCAGCTGTTTCACCGTCGGTGTTGATTCTCCTTAGGCTTAGGTGGCCACGGCACAGAGGCAACTATTGTTTCAGGTATGTTGAACCTTGTCACGGACTGCCACCCTATCCATTTAGCTATGTATTAAGTTGTCCTCATTCGTGGGAAATCGGTTGATTCTTTATTCTAGTGTTCCTTCTCCACAAAATGGAAGTATGGAACAACTTCCTTGCTTTCAATTAAACAATTAATCGGGTGTTTGGTTGGCATAAATTGTAATTTAATGTTAATGTAATTTTATAAAAGGAGAAATTACGTTGTTTATTTGGGAGAATTGCAATTCATAATCTCCCCATATGAATTACAATTCAGCCCTACAAAAGAAAGAAAAAAGAAGAAAAATGAGATATTTACCCTTAAATATTACTTCGTATTATTAATATTTGATAATATTATTTTTATTAATTTATAAAAATTCTTTTTATAATTCATTTGTAATTTTAATTAATTATTTATTTACTTTCATTTATTTCAATAATTAATATTGTTTGGTTTTTTTTTTTTAAGTATTTTTGTTTAGTTTTAGACTTTTAGTTAATAAAATGTACCAGTCCATTTGCCCAAACCCATTTAATGAAGTTGTCTTTGTTATTTGGTCAGCAATTGATTTAAGCCCAGCCCATCTAAATATTCTTCTTCCAGTATTTTGTATATTACAAAATAATGTATATTTAGTTTAAAAATAAAATACTTTTAGTATATTAAAAATGTACTTTGTTTTCAGAGAAAGTACATCATTTAAATATTAAAAATATATTATTTTATATAATGAACATTCAGTACAAAAATAATGTACTTGTAATATATTAAAAATATACTCTTTTTTATGGTCCATACAACACTATGTAGACATAGTTTACACAATAATTTGCCCATCCGCGATAATCATTATTTCATAGACCATGGTCCACACATTTATGTGAACCGTAAACAAAAAATAATTTTTGATATACTAAAAGTACATTATTTGTATATATAAAGTACATTATTTGAAAGTACATAATTTTTTATATATTATCAAATAATGTACATTCAGTACACAAATAATGTACTTTTAATATAGGAATACGGGTCAAATAGGTCACACAACTGTACACCAAACTGCAATTAGGTCATCGAACTCAAAAAAGATGCAATTGGGTCTCTGAACAATCCAAAATCATGCAATTAGGACCAAAATAATTAAATTGCGTTATATTAATTTCATGTGGGTTTGACGCTTGTTTTTGTTTTTGCACACTATTACTACAGTGATGAGAATAATTAAATTGTCCATCATTATTACACAAAGACATTTTTATCTTTATATCACTTTTTCCCTTCCTATTCCCAAAAATTACATTCATTCCCTTCTACAATTCATTGTTCTTCTAATTCTTTCATTCCAATTAATGGATGAAATTAAAATTCCATTCTTACCAAATTCAATTGAATTTATATTTTATAATTTGATTAGAGAAAATTATAAGAGAATTCTATTGAATTTATATTTTATAATTTGATTAGAGAAAATTACAATTTCGTGAAATACAATTTCTTCCGACTATAAAATTGTAATTCCTAATGTCTACCTAGAAATTGCAATTCCACAATTTGTGAAATTATAATTGAACATTAAACTACTATTTTGTCGTTATTATTATTATTATTGTTATTATTATTATTACTAGTATTTTCACTCGTGCGATGCACGGAATCGAATTGTTGTAATATATAAAGAATATTTAAATCGATATATAATTATTTAAGAGTTAATTTCACCAGAGGTCGTTTATCTTTCCTGACAATTCCAAGTTTAATCCTAGACTATAGTTATTAATTATTACAATTTATTCTATGTTACAACTCTTACGTTAATATTCTTACTATTATTATTAACACTTAATTACTTTTAGATATTATTATTGCCACTTATATTATTATATTATTATTATTATTATTATTATTATTATTATTATTATTATTATTAGTTTCTTTTCAAGTACTTTAGTATATAATGGTCGTGAGGCACAATAATAATATAACCATAATTAAATATTCTTGTATTGTATTCCGGAGTTAATGTCATTTTTGGTCCTAGACTTATTGAGGTATTGACACTTTTCATCCTGCATAATAAAAATTGCCACTTAGTAGACACTGTTATTGGTCGTTGGACAGTTTTGATCCTCCATCAATGAAGCCGTTTGTTGACCGTGAATTAGAAGGACTTTTCTGTCTTTTATGTCTTATTCTTCTAATCTTGTTTAGACCAGCGCTGCTGTGACTCCTGTGAGGCGAGATGGCGAGACTTGGCGGCTAAGTAGTAACCGTCGGTAGTGAGTAGCAGCGAGGTTCTTCTCCGGCGAGTTGTGGGTACGGCGGCGAGCATACGAGGCAGTAACTCCTTCCGGCGACGGACCAGTAAGGCAGATCTGGCGGTGCAGCAACAGATCCGGCGAGGTTGGGGGCTTCACCGGTGGTTTTTGGTTCCGGCGAAGCAGAGAGGGCAGCAGGTCGGCGAACCTTCCTATGGTAAATAGCAGTTGTAGTTGTAGATGGCGTGATGTAGAAATTGCACCTGTAAGTCCTCCCTTCCATAATGACCACAAATATCCTTCTCATCTCTCTCTCGCTCTCTCTCTGACCACAACTACTTGGTGCACAACCTCAAAAACTCTGTTATTCTACCTGAAATTCATTAAAGTTTCAAGCTGAAAATGTGGAATCCGCCCCCAAAAATCGCATTGTCTGAGGTGTTGGAATGGCCGGTGTTGACTTCCTGGCTGCTGTAGCTTCATTCCCCAACCCGGATGATAAAATTCGGAGCACCAGCTTTGAGGTTCAAGGAGGTGATAACACTGGCAATGCTTTGATAAAACCCGGATGATAAAATTCGTCTTGGTCTTAATCCAAGGACCATATTTAAGGTTGTTGATGACTCGCATGGCGAAAGAATACTTGATGAGCTTGAAAGGGATGGTGTTGATACATCTTTTATGGTGGTGTCCAAAGGAGGAAACTCACTATTCACATATGTCATTGTTGACAACCAAAAAAAAAAAAAAAAACTCGCACGTGCATTTTCACTCCAGGATATCCACCCATGATAAGGGTCTACATACCCAAATCAAAATTGTCTTCAGCGCTTGGAGTAAATATTGTCTACTTAGATTGAAGGCTGCATGAGACTGCTTTGATTGTAGTGCAGGAGGCAAAGAGTAGGGGCATACCTATTATAGTTGATGCAGAAAGATTAAGGGAGGGGTTGGGTGATATTCCTGACTTTGCTAGTTATGTTGTATGCTCGACAAAATTTCCACAGGCATATGGACTAACGCCCTTTCTATTCCAACTGCACTTGTTTCCATTATCTTGAGATTGATGTCAAATGTAAAATTCGTGATTGTTAGTTGGGTGAAGATGGTTTCTTAATGTTAGAAAGGACTGAAGCGGATAACCTCAGTTTGAAGAAATGGATGTAGCAGTGACCAATGGATGGAGAAATACAAGGATTAGAACATAAAAAAACAGAAAAACCCTTCTAATTCACGGTCAACAAACGGCGTCATTGACGGAGGATCAAAACTGTCCAATGATCAATAACAGTGGCTACTAAGTGGCAATTTTTATTATGGAGGATGAAAAGTGTCAATGCCCCAATAAGTCTAGGACCAAAAATGGAATTAACTCTTGTATTCCGTGAATTACAATAATAATATAACAATAATTAAATATTGTTCAATTATATATTCTTCTAGGATTTCTATTACCATCATTAATTATTCCCAAATTTACCATAATTAAATAATTTGACCAATTATAAAGAAAGATTATTAACTAATGCACGGGACAATTGTTTAATTAAAAATTTTAAAAATTCATTAATAAAACATAAGGTTCTTATAGTTTTTTCTTAGAAACTCTTTAATAAAGTATTTTTTTTAGAAATTGGTGGGCCAAACCGCCTATGGCAGTTTGCGATGGATAGATCTCGAAAAAATACGCGATTTCAAAAAAACATTTGTCCAAAACGGACAACGGAGTCAAAAATTATGCCTTGCCGAACTTTTGACACTTTACAACTTAAAAAAAAAAATAAAAAAAATTAAAAGCCGGTTCAGCCGGCGAGGCAGCCGCTGAGGAGGCCGATTCCGGCCTTCCTCGCTGCGGCCAGCGACACGATTTTTGCAACACTGATATATAAAATAGATATAGATTAGAATAGGAGTAGTATTACACAATTTTATAATATTACAATAAAATTTTAACCCAAAATTATTGTAGAAATCAATATATTTTATTAGGAAGAGGGATTTTTTAAGAATAGGGCGGGAAGTTAAAATTTCAGAATTTTGTTTTTATATATAGTATAGATTATAATATAAAGACATTTAAATTTTTAATTACTTATTCCCTTTTAATTTCCAGTCATTCTATTCTTGACTATCAAAGAATGTAATTTGAATTTCCACCTCATTCTTTTGACTTTCCCATATATGCGATATGGGAAGGAGATTTCAATTCTTTTGGGTATAATAAAGTTGATGGGATGTGCCATTGAAGTTTTATGAATATGAAAATGGCAGCAATACAGGACAAGGCTGTTTGTTACTCTTGATTCAAACCAGGAATGGACCAAAATGCAAGGGATACACTCAAAACAAAGTTTCCCACAAATTTAGATGGGTGCGCTAAGCCCCCAAAAAATTTCTACATCCACACGAAAAAAAACCTAGGAACCTTTCAATCTGGCCAGGCTCATAATTCCCCAAAACAATCACTGCCATAAAATTCTGGTACAATAAATATTAACATAACCTTGTCCGTTGATAAAAAGAGCCCCATATAATAAGAAATTGGGAAGAGAAAGAAGAAAATTGAAGAAAACAACATCACAACCACTCACTCTCCAACTACAAACACCTACCAGCAATGACACGTCTAGGCAGAAGAGGCAAACACAAGTGGCCACCCCTGGAATATGACCAAAATGCACAATAACATGTTAGATAAAGATACATATAAACAGCATACCCCACCCCCTCCTCTCACTCATACCCCAACCATAGAACTTTTACATGTCAGCTAACTTTTAAAGTTTCATACCAAACATACCAAAAGCAGGGGGAAAACAGTAAACTCACCTTTAAAATAGTAGTAGCATCTTAGAAGCACTTCCTGTGGACAATTGATGGGCCAGACTCCTCATACTCCCCTTTCGAAATCCACATCTGATTAAGCCAACAAAGAATCAAGTTAAGATCAAAGATAAAAGCTCAAAGCAGATATGACTTGACCAATGCAACACAACAAATAACAATTGGATAATGGCTCACCTGCTGGAAAGTGCTGAGGGATGCGAGGATGGATCCTCCAATCCAAACACTGTATTTTCTTTCTGGTGGAGCAACCACCTTAATCTTCATGCTGCTGGGGGCTAAAGCAGTGATTTCCTTGCTCATCCGATCAGCAATACCAGGGAACATTGTAGAGCCACCACTGAGAACAATATTACCATAGAGATCCTTCCTGATATCTACATCACACTTCATAATGGAGTTGTAAGTAGTCTCGTGAATACCAGCAGCTTCCATTCCAATCATAGATGGCTGGAAGAGGACTTCTGGGCAACGGAACCTCTCTGCTCCGATAGTTATGACCTGCCCATCGGGCAACTCATAGTTCTTCTCAACAGAGGAGCTGCTCTTTGCAGTTTCAAGCTCTTGCTCATAGTCAAGGGCCACATATGCAAGCTTTTCCTTCATGTCACGGACAATTTCCCGCTCAGCAGTAGTAGTGAACATGTAACCTCTTTCAGTTAGGATCTTCATAAGGTGATCGGTGAGGTCACGGCCAGCAAGGTCCAAACGAAGAATGGCATGAGGAAGGGCATAACCTTCATAGATGGGTACAGTATGGCTCACACCATCACCAGAATCCAGCACAATACCTGCCAAAATTTGCAGAAGGTTTCAGAATGCAAATTATAGCCACTAGGAAAAAAAAAATCAAAATAGAAAACATAATTATACGAACCAGTTGTACGTCCACTGGCATACAAGGATAGCACAGCCTGAATGGCAACATACATTGCAGGAACATTAAATGTCTCAAACATGATTTGTGTCATCTTCTCTCTGTTTGCTTTTGGGTTGAGGGGTGCCTCGGTAAGAAGGACAGGGTGCTCCTCAGGTGCAACACGAAGCTCGTTGTAGAAAGTGTGATGCCAGATCTTTTCCATATCATCCCAGTTGCTAACAATACCATGCTCAATGGGGTATTTCAAGGTCAAGATACCTCTCTTAGACTGGGCTTCATCACCCACATAGGCATCCTTCTGTCCCATCCCAACCATAACACCAGTGTGTCGGGGGCGACCCACAATACTGGGAAACACTGCTCTTGGAGCATCATCACCAGCAAATCCAGCCTAATGTAGACAACATAAACCATGAGTTCAGAAGACAAACTAAGTTGCAATAAAGCATTTGAATTATTAAAAATCAAACTAACCTTCACCATTCCAGTTCCATTGTCACAGACAAGTGGCTGAATATCCTCAGCATCTGCCATTTTCTATTAAACACTAAACAGAAAAGCAACTCAGATACAATTGCAGAAAATTACAGGCAATTAGGGACACAGAAAAGCAAAATGGTTAGACTACACTCAACAGCACAAAATTTTGGTCTCTAAACTAAACAGTATCAGAATAAGCAATCTGTGTTTTCACATTCCATGATAGCCTGACTGCCTGATTATTTTGAAGAACTTTAAATAAAGAAACTAGAGACCAAAGATATTATGAAAATCAGTAATCACCTTTAGATAAGGGTTAACAGATATATGGGGCTTTCAAGTTATCCCCAACTAAAATGGACTTAATCCACACTTTGAAGTGTCATTTAAATCCTAGGCAATTTATATAAAGTTGAATTCAACTTTATCAGAATAGACATAAATTACCTATTGTTGAACTTCATTAAATGCAGAAGACAGCACAGATCTATGAAAACCTAAAGCAGATCAAGTTAGTCTACCTTTCCGAAGCTCACAAACCATCACAATCACAGATCGTAACATTGTTCATAGATCGTAACCTCAAAAGCATAGTTCAATCTTCATTATTCATGGATTCCCTAAATCCGACCACATGATACGGACTAAATCCATTACAAACTCAGAAAAAGAAAATTCGAAGCATTGAAACTTCATCTCCCCTAATTTTCTCCCCAGATCTCAAAGCAGAAATAGAAATGGAACTTATAACTTTAGGATACGGATAAAAACAGGTCCGGAAGATAATGAAAAAGAAAATTATAGATCGGTTGATAAGCAGATCTAAGCTTAGCTTAGCTGAAGTTACCTGAGAGTGAGAGAAAACGAGATTTGAGTCCGGAGACGATGGCCGGCCGCCTCGCTCTCTCTAGATTCTCTGTCTGGCTGGCTGCTGAGGAGTGTTAGAAAGGAGAATCAATAGGCGTGAATGCGGACAGAATTATATATATATAGAGGGTAGACACTGTAACATTGACCACACACACAGTGAAGTTTGTGACCCGGACACGCGTTTGAATTCGAATTTTTGTGTTTCTATGTTTAATTTTCGTGTCTGACACTTTTTCGATAAGTGGGAGATTAAAAACAAAATTTTTATTAAATTGAATTTAAAATCCGGAGTTTGATACTGTAATTGGTATGATGGAAAGTAAATTACACGATTCATCTCACTTTATGATAATAATACTTGCCTCCCTCATTTTTTATTTTTTTTAGTATTAATAGTTATGTTACTCTATAGTAAAACTGTAAAAGTTAATATCACCTTATTAGGATGAACTCATGATTTTTCATTTAGGAGAGTCGTACTACTAGACTACAAGGTCATTAGCTGTCTCCCTCATTTAAACAACACGATATTTCATTTTTCATTTTCTTTCATTATTTATTTTGTGCTTATGAAATTCATACAAGATGATAGAAGAGTGAATTTTAAAATAATATCACATTTCATTTATTTCCTTAAAAATTTATCAAACAGAACTATTTTTTTTTACAAAAATAGAATAGACTAGAGAAATAGTTTTTTTTTTTTTTTTTCGAGAAAGAGAAGTAGTTTTTATAATATTTAAGATTGTAATAGGAGTAAGGATCCACCAAATCACCTTCAATCAAATAAATCCATTAAATTCACTCTCATTTCATCTGGGTCTATCTAAAGTGAATGAAATGTAGATTCATTTAATAAAAATTCACCACTAGTAGATTGAATATGGATTTTACTTCTCAAAATCTAATATATCCAATCCACTCCCCTAATCAATCTATCTATCTCTCTCTCACTCTCTCTCTCTCTCTCTCTCTCTATATATATATATATATATATATATATATATATATATATATATACATACGAGTGAGATCAGGTGTGAAGAAGCCCCTAAGTGCGAATGGACTCTAAAAAGAATCATGTGTGAAGAACAAACTTGTGCACTTGTAAACAAAAGTTATGCACCTGAAAAATAATCTCTCATTCCGGACCGGAAGAAGTGCATCCGAAGTGGACTTATGCATCCGAAGAACAATTATCTCTCCTTCCAAAGGTGGAATTCTAATATAATCTTCTCCTTCCGAAGGCACAACAATATGCACACGAATGCACAACAATGTGCACTCGAAGGCACAACAATGTGCACTCGAAGGCACAACAATGTGCATGCACTTGAAGGCATGCATAACAATGTGCACCCCAACACACAACAATGTGCATCGAGAGCACAAAAATATACACCCGAAGGTTCAAACTTATGCACCTCAAGGTTTAAAGTTATGCACCTGAAAGTCTAAAGTTATGTACTCATAGGTTCAAAGTTAAGCACCTTTAAAGCTATGCACCTGAAGATCCAAAGTTATGCACATGTAGGTCCAAAGATATGCACCCGTAGGTTCAAACTTGTACAACTGAGGAACAAGACTAGTGCACTTCAAAGTTTTTAGGAAAAATTATCAAAATACCACTGCATTTTTTTTAAATGTACTTCATTCTAGGCGGTTTGGATGAGATCAATGGTTGAGATTGATGTGCATGTTTCACCTTCGACAAGTCTAGTGCTCTACATATGATCTCTCTTCTCTCTCTCTCTCTCTCTCTATATATATATATATATATATATATATATATATATATATATATATATATATATATAGAGGAAGGTTCAAGTGCGGCAGTGCACTTAGGTGCGACGGTGCGGTTAATTGTAGGCCATTAGATTAGATAAATCCAACGAATCACATTCATCCAGGCTTTTCTGATATTTTCGCGCACGTTCTCACACTACGCGAACTGCAAGGTTAAAGTCGTCATTGGGCACCTGAATATATCAAATCATAGTGTTGTGTGTTTTATGTTCGTTATTGGTGCATTATTAACCTTACTGTGGTGTATTTGAGGATTCGTGTTGGTGCCAAGTTCAGGTGCGCCCGCGCCTTCCCACGCGGTCAGTGCGGGTGCACTAATAGTTATACAAATATACACCATCCATGTTAGAAAATGCACACCAAAAAAATATGCACAAATTAGATACGCATCACCAGAACGCACCATTAGGTATGAATAAAAGCATCACACAGTGTTCAGAAATACATCATTGGGGTGGTGAGTTATATGGTGTATTTTTTGGGTGTGTTGTGTGTTTTTTGGTGTATTTGTGCATTTCATTGTGGTGCTATTTCCTAATACTATTGGTGTCTTTTGTTAACACTGTTGGTGTATTCTGACAAGCGACCGATTTAATGACCACTACAATTACCCTAACACCCCCCACTTATTAGGACGCGCTTAAATCTTTAAATCTTCAGAAATTAGCCGCTGCCGTTAGATTAAGCAAAATGGACGATGCTGATATAGCCGCACCGCCGCACCTAAAGCCACTGCCACATTTGAGCGCTAATATATATATATATATATATATATATATATATATATATATATATATATAGAGAGAGAGAGAGAGAGAGAGAGAGAGGGAGAATACAATTATACATTATAAGTTAGTACTTAGTAGCCTATTGTTGGTTGTCCTACATCCAGTGTCCAAATCTAAAATTATAACTCAATTTTAATTTTTAACTTTTCTATACTAAGCATAAGGTTTTAGGTTTTTCTTTCTCAATTGTCATTTTTGACTTTCTGCCTGCTTCATTATTATTCAAGTCAGATGTGTTCCTCTTCACGATGTCACAATCACAAGTTCATCACTTCGTTAAAGATGAATGAAGATTTGTAATTTAATTTTTTTTAATTTTAAATTAATTTTTAATTTTAAAATTGGATATTTGATTTTTTTTTTTTAATGGGATGGGATGCTTGAAAATTGTAATTTTGATTTTTGAATATTTGCAATCTTGTATTATAATTATTTTATTTTTAATCTTAAAATGTTATTGTATTCAATCCGTTAAATATGTTATTAAATGATTCGATTGTATTAGATACACATCAACCTATGAAAATTTTCAAATTCACCTTTAACGAATTAGATGTGGATTCGCTCCAAATCCGCTCTATATATTCTGCTCTGCGCTCACCCCAAGATTGCATACATAAAAAAATTTAAATTTATATGAAGTACTTGTTGAACATATAACCATTAATGTGCAATCTAACTTGAGATGATGCATGCTTCAATTGATTGTACTCCGTAAATATAAAATATTTTGCGATTGATAAGTTAAAGAATCCACTAAGGCTCGATTCATGACTTTTCATATGAGAAAATTACTACATGCCATCTGAGCACAAGGGGCAAATCACTACTTTGATTTTGTTTGATAAAAGAGGTTTTTTTTTGGTCCCACGTATTTCATATCATTCTTAATTTAAATAATCGATTTCAAAATGTTTGAATTACATGCACAATCCTAAAAAATGTTGACACGTGCATGGCTAGATTTTGAGCGGCAAATTATATCGTGCACCGCGGTGCATAATCAATTATCATTGTACATCAAAACGTCATCGTTTTGTTTAATGAAAAGAAACGGTATCCGTTTCTCGCCGTTTCGCACCCTTCCGCAAAAAGTAACTCTTTTATTCAGTTTCATTTTATTTACACTGCAGTTTCAGTTCAACACAACTACAATTTCATTTTGATATAACTACAGTTTCATCTGATATTTATAGACTCAAATATGTGAAAATATTATTTAATTTAATTTTATATACACTATAATTTTATTAAAACACAACTACATGATCATTTTGATATAATTACGGCTTCATTGTACAATATACACTCAAATATGTGAAATGTTATTGAGTTTCATTTTATATACACTGCAGTTTCATTTCACCACAACTATAGTATCATTATCATTTTGATATAACTGCAGTTTCATTTGATAATATAAAAATAATACGTGAGGCAATGTCGGTTTAATTTAGATATACTGTAGTGTCAGTTGGTAATTAACATACAAAAAATACGCGTTCTGTTAACACTAACTGTGTGCCGTTTCTTTACTTAAAGAAACGGCGCCGTTTTGACCGCAGTGCACGTGCACCACGGTCCACGATATAACGACCGATTTTGAGCTGTGCAAAATGCTCAATTGCATAGGGCCTCAATTTTTAAATGGTCCAATATTTATTTTTGACTTAGATACCAATCGTTATACCGTGCCCCACAGCGCACATAGCAATGTGCTCCTCGCGCCTCCCAAAACGACGTCCTTTTGTTAAGTTGTGTGGGAAGTTGACGCGACAGAGTGTATGCGTATTCTGTTATATAATTATGTTATACAATTATGTACATTATGTTATGCGTACATTTTTTATACAATTATGTACATTTTTTTTTATAAAATTATGTACATTCTTTTATACAATTATGTACATCCAAAATATGGAATTTTTTTAAAGAGTTAAAAGTTTATGTGCATTATGTTAAGTGTTTATGTGTATTATGTATTATGTTAGATTATGTGTATTATCTTTTCAAAAAAGAGTATGTGTATTCTGTTATACAATTATGTACATTCTATTATACAATTATGTACATTTTTGAAACATGAGATTTTTTTTTAAGAAGTTAACAGGCGACATGGAAAGCAAAACTTAAAAAAAAAAAAAAAGAGTACAAAACGACGTCGTTTTGCACCAGGGCGCACAATGCAATGTGCGCCCTGGTGCACGATATAAATTGCCCTTAGATACTTAAGAATATATATATATTTTTTTAAAACTACAATTAATCTTGAAACTACCAATTTTTCCTTGAATCACTTCTCTCTCTTAATAATTATGACCTAATTAATTGAGCATGTAGCATGACAATTTCTCTAATGACAATGATGTCATAAGCCCTGAATCTGCAGAGATAAGTTGAAACTTGTACAATTCACCAGTTCACCACCAATACCGAATGAGAAAAAAATGATTCTTCCCCTAACAAATCATTCTACTTGCGTTCCAAACGATAGCAGCAGACCAACACGTAACCACTAGCCATGTGGTTTTAAGATGTTTTTTTTTTTTTCCTGTTTGTTTAAACTTTGGAGATAGTAGGTTAGTAGGAATCTTATGGTTTGATTTTAAAGATTGCGCTTATATTTCTAGTAGGTCTCATTTATTTATAAGAACGGGGTCACAAAAATCTAAAAACCAGTCCTAGACATGCCGGATTCTTCTAATCGAATTTCGTATAATAAGCCAGTGGAAATGCTCACTCAATCATTATTGTGTGGACCATAGTCCATTCAAGCTGTGTGGACCATATTTTGTATACTGTAAAATAATGTACTTTTAATATATTAAAAATGTATATTGTATTCAGGGAATGTACATTATTTGTGTACTGAGTGTACATTATATTGTATAATGTATATTCAGTACACAAATAATGTACATTTAGTATATTAAAAATGTACTTTTTGTTATCATCAACACAGTACTGTGTGGACCATAAAATTGCCATGCTCACTTATCCTATTTTTAGGATATATGGTGTTGGGGTAATACCCATTAGTCCAAAGGTATTCAGTTTGCGAGTTGTACTATTATACATAACTAGTACTCCACTCGTGCGTTGCACGACATGAAAATACATATATACACATCCATTAATGTATGTATACAAACTCATAATAATTATTGAGAACATGAAAATAGTTAACAGTTTCTAACAAATACGTAATAATATAGAAAATTTATAAATATATGTTATATATATATAGGCACATACATATATATATATATATACACACACATTATTGTACGTATATGACCACATAATAATTATTGACAACATGAAAGTAATTTTTACTTTATAACAAATATTTAGTAATATAGAGATTTTACAAATTATTAAACACTTATTTGTAAACAACATTCATCGTTGAAGAAACACACTCCCCATCCTCGTTGCAAATAAGTAACTTAAGCCCTCTTGGATTGCTGACCCTAGACAAAGCAACGTACAATTGTCTATGAACAAAAAATCTGGTTTTTTAAGAAAGTATCCCGACTGTAGAAAGCGTCTGACCTTGACTCTTGTTTATTGTAATAGCATAAGTGTCTTCTTTGAAACTTAAATGGCAATGTAGTGCCTGATGGTTTTATCGACAGACGTGGGATTAGAACCTTGGTACCTGCAGTAGCGCCAAATAGGAGTTTAGCTTCAACAACATGGTCTGCTAATTTTGTAATAAGTAACCTGGTCAATATTGCGCAACAACATAACTGGAGACCCAATCTTCAAATTCAAGCAATGGTTTGGCAACCTAGAGCATTTTAGCCCATTCAGTAACTCCAGCGTGTGCAACCCAGCCACAACATCAAGAGTGCTTTCAGTGGGGCAAACTGAATCAGAACTAAAATAGGTCCTACACTCGGCAACATTCAAGTTACTCATGTAGTCATTAACTTCATCTACAACTTCAAGAGTTGGTGCTAAGATTGCTCGACCAATTAAATAATCAGCGTCATGTTGCTGCTCTTGAAACAGAAGAAATGTACTTTCCACAATTACTTGGATTGGATCACGATTTGTTTGCAACAAATTTTCAGGTGGAATGGGAACCTCTACATGACCATCATTTGGACCACCAGCTTGACCATCACCTATTGAAGCAATCCAGTTAGCAAAAGTAGACAACTCTCTCATTTCATCTTCAGCACCAACACTATGCAACCTCAAATTTTTTGTCAACCACAAAACTGTACAATGAGCCCACAAATATGAAGAATTAATAGTCGCACCAACAATATCCTGTCTAGTACCCTTTGGTATCACTGGCAATATTTGGTGAAAATCACCACCTAGAACAACAATCTTCCCTCCAAACGGCAACGTAGAATTCAATGGATTAGTAAATTGCAACAAATCTAGCATAGTTCTATCCAATGCTTAAAAACAATGCTTATGCATCATAGGAGCTTCATCCCAAATAATTAAACTACATTTGACTATCAATTCAGCTAGATCACTCCCTTGTGATATATTGTAAGTTGAATCCTCATTGGCAGCAAATTGGTATTACAAAGCGTGAATGTGCAGTACGTCCACCAGACATTAGTAACGAAGCAATACCACTTAATGCCACATTAAGAACTATTTTTCGCTGTGACCAAAGCGCAGCAGACAAAGTGCGACACACAAATGTTTTCCCAGTACCTCCATAACCATAAACAAAAAACAAACCACTAGTAGTACTAGAAGCGACTGTCAGAACTTTGTCATAAACATCTCTTTGCTCAGTAGTAAGCTTTAATTTTAATTTGCACCATGTCATCATGTTCTTTGCTCAACATGGCACAATCGTAAGACAATTCATCTGATAACAATCGATTTTGAGAAATAGCCAAGCTAGACATATCAGGAACATGCATGCATGGATAATCACCTAAACTCTTACTCCACGTCGACAAAAGTTTCTTCAATTCCTCTAAACCATACATCTCTTTCACAGTGTTAGGTAACAATACATCTGCATATAATTTTGAAGCGCAAATATTAATTTACCATGCTTAAAGCTAAGGACCTATAACTATGTCATACAATAGTCAATTTAAATAGATGACACATGATTAGAAATTAACCTGGGTTTTGTAAGTCTCTTCAGTGATTGTACTCTACATCATCACACAAATGCGGCCAAACAACATCCCAGACCTTTTCAGGCTTGCACAGGGAATTAGACGTTAATAGAGTTACAAATAAGCGTCGGAGAGCAGAAGCAGTAGACCAATGGCTTGCCTCAACTATGGCATCAATATATTCCTTCTCATCACAGATCAAACCACGAGCATAACACGCGTCACGGAAACTTGAATATTGAATCCCATCAATAGTGTGAATCTCTTCAAAAGATATTGGACCACGAACTAAATTTAATAAACACCTACGATAGAAAATCTCACCAATACCAGGTGGCACATAAAACATACGGCCTATAGCAAAGCCTCTTCGTCTTGGTTGCCATTCACGTTCTTTTCTTTTCCACACAAAGCAATTATGCATTTCTCTATATGTCAATTCCCTAGCTTTGGGATATCTCTTATTAGCTTCAAACCATGCTAAAAACATACTATTCTTAATTGTTGTTCTTTCAAGCACAGTTTCAACAAATAAGTCATCATAAAAAACAATGCTTTGTTCATTAGGCAGATGGAAGCTCAAACGTTCAACTGATGGATTACGGAACTGGATGTCATAGCTGAACAAACGCCACACAGCTTGACAAGGAGAAATATACCGGCAATCATAATACATACCAATCTCATCAATAACTTCACCAATATCTTCACTATTACTGCTCTTATAAAACTGCGCAGTAACACGATCATTACCTTTATTAACGTATTTAAACAAATATTTGATCGACCGAGATTGATTACACCACTCAACATTAATGTGTGCTCTATATTTCAGTAATAAATATCTGTTGTGGGGTACAACAAACCTATTATCCAACTCAACACCACTTTTGAGGATTGTGTGACCATCATCCCTACACCTATAAATAGGATACCCATTGCAATCAACAACTGAAGATTCCATAAATTTCTTTGGGAAGTGTTTTGAACATCGCCCCTTAACCATACAAGGAGATTTGTTGTTTGCAACACTACATGGATCGTGTATCATAAACTCTCCAACAACTGTGTAATATTCAAGGTCGTTATCCTTACTTGGAATCTCGGCTGAAATAATGGAATCGATATCATTACTGAAGGTAATAACATCAACACGATCAATAAATAGTAGTATGTGTGCATGTGGCAACCCACGTTTCTGAAATTCCACTGTATATATGACTGCAAAGAAAAAAAAAATTGTAAGAAAATGGTACGTAAATGCAATATACATACCAGACACAATTTTCCCAAAAACAGTACCCGAGCACAATTCTTTAATTAAACATTCCAATTTCATCTTGAAAACACGGCACATAATGTCAGGTCGGTCTTCAGGTTTAATTGCCGGCACTCTAAGAAGCGTTGTATTTCTGACCACTTTGGATTACATGTAAATGTAATGAATATATTTGGATAGCCAATCCAAGCACAAATCGCCATTGCATCTTGATAATTTTGAACCATATACCGTGCACCACCAGTAAAGCTAAAAGGTAACACAATTCGTCGACCTTGAGTTCCAGGTTCAATTTCCCCACAAGTCAATGCATCAAACAATCCTCTATATGATCCACAATGTAGGCTCTGCTGATGCGTGCGAATATATAGCAATCTTCCAGATTCCACCATCGTATACCCATCTACTAAAAATTGCTGGAACAATCTTTTAGCATACAGGAACGTGGAAATCTCAGTAAATCGTTCATGAATACGAAATGATAGGTATTCATGAAGAGAAATACTATGCCTTGCTCCTGTATCAATATTTTTTTCAACATTAAAAGAAATATCCTCTCTATAACCATCTTCACCATATGGAAACAAAATTGGATACTAAAGAGGGAGATATGCTGGATTAAGCTTGCTAATTCTTTTTAACACACCCGATCTTGTTTCTATCTATATATCACGCTCACCCAAGGAGGGATCTAAATCACCAACAATTATAGCTATAACCTCAGACACTGTTGACAAATTATATGTTTTGGCATCTTGGCTACACTTCCCTATCAATTTCATTCTCACTTCAACAGTCGGATTTGTTACTATTGCATCACGAGTCATCCGGAATGACTTAACCAAAACATTATTTTCATCCAATGTTAATTGAAGATCATAAACAATATCTTCATGTAGTTCGTTGAGATCATTATTACCCCTACAATTCAAAATTTATTAAAATTATTTTGTAATTATATTGTACTTTGTACGTAGTTTCATATATATATATATATATATATATATATATATATATATATATATATATAAAAGAAATAATATTTATTAATAAGACATAATATACCTGACAGAGTGCAACCGATTTTACATCTCATTTTCAGGATCATGGATGTAAAGTTGTGCGAATTTAGGTCGATTCCCTTCAACAGGTAACAAACTACCTAATAAATGAAAATTTTGTCCATTCAATCTAAAAATCGGAGGTGCTCTTCCTGTATTCACATCTCTGTCAATACGGCCTACCAGAGATGTGAAACTAAACATGTTATTATACGATCTTATATGCTGCAAAAAAATACTTGCTTCTTGCGAAAAAATACACTACAATGAGTGCACTTAAAAACATGATCTCCAAGGTCAATATACAACTATTGTTGTAACACTCCCGAATTTTACCAACATTTAAAAGCTTAATTTAAGGGAAACAGTCTAACATTAAGCATAAAACAGAGCGGAAGCTAACATAATTCGGGTAGTGCTATGTCACACCTATACCAAAAGATAGGTGCACAGGCTACAACTAAAACCATTGTCAAAGTTCTACGGCTCACATGCCAACAACAAACTAAGGCAAAATGAGAGCTACACTAACTACGGTCCACATCTAGCGCGCTCTTCGATCTAATCAAAACCTGTAAAAACAAAGGATAACACCCGGTCAGCGAATAATGCTGGTAACCCACCAATACGCGTTAAGTATCATAATATATAGATATAGGGAAAAGCATTTGAAATGGAATACAGTATATAACATTTGAAAACCAAGAGACCAAAGACTCATCAACACTCTCAACAAAGACCAAAGACAACAATACTCAACAAGGCAATAGAACAACAAACGACATATTCAACAATAGATACTACCTACCATTCACAAGGTAGAGTTCATCATAGACATGCTCATAATCAATAAAGCGAGGTTCATACTCACAACATGTTCTAAGCCCACATAGGACATAGTCAAACCGAAGCATACATCAAAGAGTCATCTCAATGACCCGAATCATAGTGGACCAGTGTGGAGGACTCCAAATCATCAATCACATACCACAGAGTCATCGCAATGACTAGGACCGCAAGCCAATGGAAAGAGATCTAGCAACTTTAAGTGTATATACACCCTATTGAGACTCCAAGCTCAACGGGGTAGTTACTATCTCTGGCAACGGGGATAAGTTTCCCAAGTTGCCCACAAGCCATAAGTATCCAAATGACAATCCGGAGCTTTAAACCCACTACCGGATCAATTCACACATAAGTCCCCACACTGTCCACTTTACCAATTCAATCATCTCATCACATCCAAATCCAACATCTCAACAAGAGTCAATACACACGGAATCTAGAGATACAACAATGCATAGATTCCACACAAGGTGTGTATAACAACGGATAAGCTCAACAATAGCTTAATCACGGAATGATCAATAAAGTACCACATTTGTACAAGATCACACCAAGGGATTCAATCAAGAGGTTGCAATGAAAGACATGAAATGAATACTCAACAACAACAATGGACTTCAATCCAATACCAACATGATTGTCAACACGAGTTGCCAATCCTCAACAAGAAGGAACAAACCATACATACTAGCATAACGACATCAAAACTAGCATGCACATCAAACGGGTAAACCAAAATCGTTTTAACGAACCTTCAAGACTCATATTAGTCCAACGAATCACAAGGTTGGACCCTTAGCACAATTCAAGACACCAAATCCTAACATGGATTCCTAAAACATCGTTCAAGACATTCGAAACATCAAGAAGACTCACAAAAGCTCAATAATCCAACAACGGGAGGTCTAAACATAAAATACCAAAGGAAAGAACCACAGGGAAAACAACTCCCCGCATCATCAATCATGTTCCCCGCGGGTGGGGCCACGGGTAGGCCACCACCCGTGGTCCTGCCCGCGGGGTATCATCCCACGAGGCTGCGTTCCCCGCGGGTGGGGCGGTGGGTAGGCCACTGCCCGCGGGGTACCTCCTATACACCAAATTTTTCCCTTCGGGGAAATTCATCTCCAAGGTCAAGTTCAAGTCCAAAACACCCAAAACCTCACACACAACAAAGATATGATTTGAACCCAAGAATAGCTCAAAGAAAGGCATTCAAGAACCCTAAATACAAGCTCTAAACATGCATTATCACAAGATCATGCATCAAATCTCACAAATACGCCAAGAATCATCAAATAGAAGCCAATAATCATTCATAGCAATAGAAAATAGGTTTTGTATAGCATGGGTTACCTTTGAAGACCAAAAACCACTTTCTTCTTACACTCATAAGCCTCTCCTTGAAGCTCTTTCTCATCCAAGACTTCTTACACAACCAAACCACAAAGAAAACACCAAAATAAGATAAAGACACCTTAAAGCTAACTAAAAACACTAAATGACTTTAGATCTTACCCTTTCCTATGCTAGGGAGGTAGAAAGGTGAAATCTTTAGATGAATCTTTGCAAGGCTAGGGAATTCTTCTTCTAGCTTGGAGAGAAAGCTAAGATTTCTTTAGAGAGAAGGTGGTGTGTTTATGAGATTGGCTAGAAGATGATGAATGAAATGTGTGTCTTGCTAGGGCAATCTTAAACATCAATCATGTGTGAAAGGACAAGTTTACCCTTACTAAAAGGCTAGGAAGACAAAAGGCTAGGTACCAAGCATAAAGCATAAGGTACTCATGGTTGACTAAGGAACTAGTCAACTTCTAGTCCCTTGAGTATTAAATTTCAGGATTTTAGGAAAGGAATTCATCAAGGAAATTAGGATTAATTCTTCAATTAATCCTAATTAAGGAGTCAGATTTTCGGGGTGTCACAGTTGTGGACTCTAGTCAAGAAAGAAAGATGGTTGGGCGATGGAAGCAAGGGGAAGGAAGGTGGTAGTGTGAAGTCTCGCCACTCCAAGGATGGAGATAAGAGTTGACGCCACTTAGGAGATAAATCCCAAGATAAGTCAAAATACTCCTCAAGAACTCAAGGAAAAGATATTGAGAGAGTTATTGATGCCGGACATTCTATAATTCCTATGCTTTACAAAGGGTCTGTCCCTGAGCTAGCCAACATTGAGCATTTGCCCGAGGCTATTTCGTTTTTAATGCAGGTTTTTTATGATGTATTTTCAGAGGAGATTCCAAGTGGGTTACCTCCTATGAGAGAAATAGAGCACCAAATAGACTTGATACCCGGGGCTCATATTCCAAATAGACCTGCTTACAAATGCAACCCCGAAGAAACTAAAGAAATTTACAAACAAGTGGATGAGTTGATGGAAAAAGGACAAATAAGGGAAAGCTTAAGTCCTAGTGTTGTACCAGTATTGCTGGTGCCCAAAAAGGATGGGTCATGGAGGATGTGCGTAGACTGCCGAGCTATAAACAAGATCACGGTAAAGTAACGTTTTCCCATTCCTTGTCTAGATGACATGTTAGACGAGCTGCACAGTGCATGCATATTTTCTAAAATTGATTTGAGGTCTGGGTACCATCAAATTAGGATTCGTGAGGGGGATGAATGGAAAACTGCATTCAAGACCAAACAAGGCCTATATGAATGGCTAGTTATATATGCCATTTGGACTCACTAATGCATCAAGTACTTTCATGCGTTTGATGAACCATGTGCTTAAAGATTTTATTGGCAAAAGTGTAGTAGTATATTTCGATGATATACTAATATACAACAAAAACTTTGAAGAGCATGTTCAACATTTGCATGATATTTTTTCTGTTTTAAGAACTAATAAATTATATGAAAATTTTTAAAAATGTGAGTTTTGCACCTCATCTGTTCATTTTCTTGGCTTTATTATTAGTGCCAATGGAATTGAAGTATATAGTGCCAAAGTCCAAGCTATTTGGGAATAGCCAACGCCAATGACAGCTAGTGAGGTGCGTAGCTTTCACGGCTTAGCAAGTTTCAATCGCCAATTAAGCTCTGCACCCGTTCTTGCCTTGCCTAACTTTGAGGCAACTTTTGAATTGGATTGTGATGCTTTGGGAGTTGGAATTGGAGCTGTCTTAATGCAAGGTGGCAAGCCTATTGCATATTTCAGTGAAAAACTGAACGGGGCTACTCTTAATTACCCTACATATGACAAAGATTTCTTTGCTCTTTTTAGAGCTTTGGAACACTCGGAACATTACTTAAGGCCTAAAGAGTTTGTAATCCATACTGACCATGAATCTTTGAAGTATCTTAAAGGTCAAAACAAACTCAATAGGCGTTATGCTAAATGGGTTGAATACATTGAATCTTTTCCATATGTTATTCAATATAAGCTTGGAAAAGATAATGTAGTTGTTGATGCTTTGTCTCGTAGATACTCTCTGTTGACAACTATGCATGCTAGATTTTTAGGATTTGAGCATTTAAAGGAGTTATATGCTACTGATTCTAGTTTTCAGGGATTATATGTTGAATGTCAAAGGGGAGCTCATGGGAAATTTTATGTGCATGGCGGTTTTTTGTTTAAAGAACATAGATTGTGTATTCCTTATTGTTCTATGCGAGAACTCCTAATTAAGGAAGCCCATGGGGGAGGTTTGATGGGCCACTTTGGCATTCATAAGACTTTAGATATTTTGCATGAACACTTCTTCTGGCCAAAAATGAGAAAAGATGTAAATAAAATGTGTGATAGATGTATTATTTGTAAAAGGGCCAAGTCTACAAGTCAACCGCATGGGTTATATCATCCTTTACCTGTGGCTGAACATCCTTGGGTTGATTTATCCATGGACTTTGTTTTAAGGCTACCGAGAACCAAAAAAAGGTCATGATTCAATTTTTGTGGTTGTTGATAGGTTTTCAAAGATGGCACATTTCATTCCTTGCCATAAATCTTATGATGCTAGTAGTGTTGCTACTTTATTTTTTAAAGAGATTGTCCGTTTGCATGGGATGCCTAAAACTATTGTTTCTGATAGGGATGTAAATTTTTTGAGCTATTTCTGAAAAACTCTTTGGGGTAAGCTCGGAACTAAGTTGTTGTTTTCTACTGCATGTCACCCGCAAACTGATGGACAAACTGAAGTTGTCAATAGAACTTTAGGAACTTTGCTTCGAGTTCTAATTAAAAAGAATTTGAAATGTTGGGATGAATTGCTACCTATTGCTGAATTTGCTTATAACAGGCACACACACAACACTACAGGTTTTTCCCCTTTTGAGGTGGTTTATGGGTTCAATCCCTTAACTCCTCTTGACTTGATTCCATATCCGGTGAAAGAGTACCGCAATTTAGATGGAGTTAATAAAGCTGACATGGTAAAGAAAATGCATGAAAAAGTGCGCAAACAAATTGCTAAGAAAAATGAGCAGGTGGCCAAGTATGTGAACAAGGGCAGGAAGGAGGTGATTTTCAATCCCTAGGACTTCGTATGGGTCCATATGCGAAAATAGCGGTTTCCTTCTCGGAGGAAATCTATGTTTCTACCCCAAGGCGATGGACCATTTCGTGTGCTTACTAGGCTCAATAATAATGCTTACACATTAGAATTGCCAAGTGAGTATGAAATTAGTTCTACCTTTAATGTTGCCGATTTATCTCCTTGACATGCAGGTGAAATTGATTCGTGGACGAATCTTTCTAAGGGGGAGGGAGATGTTGAGGACAACTATGAGGATAAGAACAAAGAAACAGATCATTTGCAAACCTTGGGAGGTCCAATGACGAGAGCAAGGGCGAAGATATTTCATGAAGCTTTGAATGGCCTTATTAAAGGAGTAAGTGAAGGTAATCAAGAATATGAAGATGGAGTTGAATGGAAGGTGGTCAATCTGATTCAGACATAATTTGAAGAATAAAGATCGAGTTGAGGTTTATACCAGGACTATGTGGTCCAATGATACCCGGGTTGGATTTTTATTTGGAAGGTTGTGAGTTCGAGCCTCAGTGGAGGCGTTATTAACTCTTTGTGTTTCAGTAGGTTGAGAAAGTATATTAAAAAAAAAGATCGAGTGGAGGTTCATACCTTATAAAACGACACTTGGAATATTTTTTCCTTACAAATAAAAGTTTAAGACTATTTTAGACCGTCCCTATGCTATTTAATTTGTAAAGTCCCTATTAGGCTTATAATTCCTAAATTCAATTAGAATTTAGTTTTTTATAAAACCTATTTGACTTAGTTATCCTAGTCTTGTGGCTAGTTGCATCTTTTAAGCTAGTATAGCACTGAAATAGCTCATTTTAAACTTAAAAGCCATTTACAGGGCCGGCCCAGAGGGGTGGGTAGGCTGGGCACTTGCCCAGGGCCCATCTCTGGAGGGGGGCCCATAAGCCATATGATATGATATTATATATATATATATATATATATATATATATATATATATATATATATATAATATTAGTTAGTATATATTAAAATAAATTGGGTTAACTATTGTATTGTTGTTTAGGAATTCTAAATTTCTAATTATACCGTATTTGTTGTTTAAGTGTTGGGAATTAGGAATTTTGTTTGTCTTTTAATTCTATTTATTAGGATTTCTATGTATAATGAAATTGTAAGTTTATTAGTTTTATTATATGAAAATTTGTTCTATTTTAATTTATATTATGTATTGAGAAGGATATGCTAGAGAAAATTAATCTTTGATGCAATTAAACTGATTTTGTATCAAGTAAAACACGTAGAATTTTTTTGTCATTTGATAATTTTTGTATTTAAAAAATTATATTGTTCAAAATTTTCTAATCTTATTTCATGTTACTTAATATCATCATTTTTTTTAGTATTTTTAAATTTAAATTTTAGTTTATAGGGACGGGGGGCTCTTTTTTAAATTTTGTCCCGGGCCTATAAAATGTTTAGACTGGCCCTGGCCATTGATGTAGGGGCTGCTAAAGTGTATAAATAGCCTTGCTATTAATTTGTTTGACAGACAACTTTGATAGTAGTAAATTCAAGAATATTGCTGTTGCAATTTCTTTTCCTTGAGTTCTTGAGGAGTATTTTGACTTATCTTGGGATTTATCTCCTAAGTGGCGTCAACTCTTATCTCCATCCTTAGAGTGGCGAGACTTCACACTACCACCTTCCTTCCTTCCTTCCATCGCTCAACCATCTTTCTTTCTTGACCCAAGCCCACAACAACAACTCTACAATAAGACAAATACATAATTCATTACAATTAATAAATTATTAAGAAATCTAAATCAAAACTATAAAAAATAACGTATAGCTTCAAATGAGCATCTCATAATCTAATATAACCACACTTGTTACTCAGTTACTTATAAGTATGACACTTATGTTGAATTCAAATAAAATAAACTAAACTTACAAACGAAAAAAAAAAATATTTTATACTAATTTAGTTAAATTTTATTAAATTCATTTCTTTAAAAACCACACACACACACACACACACACACACACACACACACATATATATATATATATATATATATATATATATATATAAAATGAACAATATATATTTACAAAGTTAAAGGTGACTATAAACAAATTTAAGCAACAAATAAGTTCGCATAATTATTAATTTAAATTCAAATGCATTAAATTTATATATGGCCCATAAAAGTACAAATTATATATCTTGTAATTTCAACATAATCTTCATAATTTGATATGAAAACTCCACAATATAAATTGGACAAAATTAGTATATCTTAACATTTATAGATGTAAATAAACTAAGTAGTAAATTTAATTTTCTTTAATTATCATTCTAATAAAAAGTTTTATCCTATTAATTGCACATACATATGATAACATAAGTAGATAATTTCACATTTATAGATGTAATGTAATGAACTAAACTAAGTAGTAAATTTAATTCTCTTTAATTACCATTCTATAAAAAGTTTTATACTATTAACTAGTATTTGCGTCCGTGCGTTGCACAGAATGAATTTGTTATAATATTTTAAAAATATTTAGATCGATATACAATTGTATAAATTATAACATCGAATATTATATAATATAATTGAAGAATTGAGTTGCACCGATTATGTTTTCTGGTGTTATCAATGCTTGAATTCGAGTAAATAATTGCCCAATTAATAGCTAACGGAATGAATTTTTTGTAATATATTAAGAATATATGAATCGATATATAATTATTTAAATTAGAACATCAAATATTATATAGTGCAATTAAAGATATGGTTTGGATATTCACAACGATCAAACTCGATACTTAAGGAGAACCAAATCGCAATGGAGCGGGTTCTCCAAGAAAGTCAAGAACAGTGATCTGAATTGCCTTCAATGAGCTTACCCGAAGGAACCTACTCAACGGCGACCCATCGGTTACCGGAGGACCAGGACCTCTTAGAGAGAAGCACTAGAAGAACGAAAAGGGGACGATTGGAAATTGAATCGGAGACAGCTTCTCACCCGGCAACTGAGACCCAGAATACTCTGGCAGCGGACGAGACAAGAACACCGGACACGGCTCGATGGGAGACTCCGGACGACACGCCTAATCATGCATGGAGCCAATCAAGGCCAAATCAGTCAAAGGAGATGACCAGTTAGGAGAAGGAGGTGTCCGATGACGAAGGTATGGAATCTGATTTCAGTGCGGAGGGTTTTTCGGTGATTAAAGTTACGAAAGAGGAAAAAGAACGTTTGCGGCGGCCATGGCGACGATCTCTCATCCTTCGTGTGCTGGGAAGGACGGTGAGCTACTCTTACCTTCACCAAAGATTAACCAGAATGTGGAAACCGGAAGCGGTGTTCGACTTGATAGCACTCAACAACGATTTTTTCATCGGCAAATTCGAATCCCTCAGAGATTATGACACGGCGAAGTTCGGTGGACCTTGGATGATCCTCGACCACTACGTTACAGTTCAAGAATGGGAACCCAACTTCGACACAAGAAACAGAAAGACCCAGAAAATCCTAGCATGGATTTGCTTCCCTGCCATACCTATCGAGTACTTTGATGACGAGTTTCTCAAGAAGATTGGGAAGACGATCGGCCGGCCAGTTAGAATCGACACCACCACAAGTCTTGCTTCTATCGGAAAATTTGCCAGAGTCTGCGTCGAATTAGACATAACGAAACCACTTGTGTCAAAGTTTGTACTCCATGAGGCTGACTGGCCCATTGAATACGAAGGTATCCACCTAATTTGCTTCTAGTGCGGAGTCTACGGCCATCGCCCAGAATCTTGTGGAATAGAGGCAGAAGCAAGATCAGCCATGAATGTTGATACAGGTCCCTCCACCATGGTCCAATCCTCTGTTCCCATCCAGAAATCGACAGAAAAATATGGCTCATGGATGCTAGTGAAAAGAAGAGAGAGACGAAACCCCAGTCGAAACAATCCTCGTCCTAATTCTTACCAACCAAGGGGCAGACAACAAGGTCCGCCCATCCCCACCCAACCCGTACCCGAAGGAATTGGTGTACAGTCCATGTTCGCTACCTTAGACGGATTGGAGGAAGCCGACACATCTCTGATTAATGAAACACAACAAGGGATGGTGGATGACCAACAACAGATGGGCCCACAAGCTCGTATGACGCCTACCACACACAGCGACCGTCATCAGGACACCCAGAGTAGGAGACCAGATCCGCAACCAGCTAGTGATCATGCACCGGTCCTAGAACCAGAAAGAAATGATGACCAGCTTCCTAGTACCTCTCTCCGAAGGATAAGAAGGAATGGTCGGGAGACACGCAATCGTTCTGGGCAGAGAAGGATAGAGAATTCCTCTTTGCCCAGAGGTCTCTCGGACACCCCAAGGCGGTCCCTACCCATCTCCCAGAGCGGTCTCAACAACCATGTGATGAGGAGAGGAATCCCCAACCGAGCAGCAGCCGAGTCTGAACACACAGTAGTAAGGGGATCCAATAAAGGGAAGGAAATTGCGACGACAGTTGTTTGCCATATGGAACCTCAGCAGGAGCCTCCATTCATCCCAAGCTTCAAAAACACCTACAAAGAGAACCCGTCGGATGGGCCTCTCACACTACCTGAACAAGCCGAACCGCCTGACACGACCATGAATGAATGCAATAATTTCGAGGACCATTGTGGTCCTTCGGCCTCTAGTTCTCCGCGCGTTTAAGCGCGCCTCTTTTCTCCCTTTGTTTTTATGTTCTTACTTATTTGGAATTGTCAGGGTGCGGCCTCCAATACATTTAGGCGCACTCTAAAATACTTTTTGAGATTACATAATCCTGTTATGGTCTGTCTGCTTGAACCCAAGGTTTCAGGGGTTCAAGCGAATAGAATCTGTTCCAGTTTTGGGTTTGATGAGTGGATTAGAGTAGAAGCGGTGGGATTTTCTGGGGGTATTTGGGTTATGTGGAAAGCTTGCATAGACGTTTTAGTATCTTCCACTCATCCGCAATTTATCACTTTGCAGATCGATGAAAAGATAGCTTTACCATGGACGTTATCTGTGGTGTATGGTAGCCCCAACCTGCAGCTCAGGCGCCAGCTCTTTTCAGAACTAACAGAAGGTTCAACAAGCCTAAACCAGCCTTGGCTCATAGCTGGTGACTTCAACACAGTCACTTGCCATGATGAAGTCAGTAATATGGAGAGCTTTTCGATGTCTCGGTGTGCGGCTTTCAACGAGTGGATCTTTAGAGAAGGTCTAGTCGATCTAGGCTACGAAGGAGCGAAATTCACTTGGAGGAGAGGCACCAACTCGGAAACCTTTAAGAGTGCCAGATTGGACCGTGCTCTAGGCAACATTGCGTGGAAAATGTCGTTCCCGAATACTTTGGTCAAACATCTTCCCTTTTTAAGTTCGGATCATGCTTCACTTCTGATTAATACCTGTTCTGTACCTCCGGTAACCAACCAAAAACAGTTCAGATTTAATTTGGCCTGGGCCACGCATGCTAGCTTCAAGCAACTGATTAACTCAGTTTGGAATCGAGACTTGGATTTGGAGGCAAATAAAACAGCCACGGCAAAAGCACTATCAGAATGGAACATGTCAACATTTGGCAACATTTGTCACAGAAAGAAACGTCTCCTCGCTAGGCTGGATGGCATCCAAAAAAGTTTAAAAAGCAGTTTCAGACCGGAACTTGTGAAGCTTGACAGAAAATTACGTTTAGAACTCGAAGATACTTTGCTTCAGGAAGAGCTTATCTGGTTTCAACGATCTAGGGAGAGCTGGATAACCTCGGGTGACCGCAACACCAGATTCTACCATGCTGCGACTTCAGTCAAGGGGAGCCGGTCCAAAATCTCATCACTAAAAGATGACCAAGGAAACTCTTTCATGTCGGAGGACCAAGCAACAGAACACGTCCGAGCCTATTTTGTCAAACTGTTCTCAGCCGAGCCCACATCATGCCCTGCTTACAAACCAAGCCTCAATTTCCCGGCCTTAGATGATCATGACTGGTTGCAGGTTTACCTTCCGATCACCAAAGAAGAAGTAAAGACTGCTCTGTTTGATATGTCACCAAGTAAAGCCCCAGGTCCAAATGGCTACACAGCAGGATTCTACCAAAAATCTTGGGACGTCGTGGGAGAGTCTCTTTTTAACTTCGTCCAGACCTTCCTCGCCGATGGTGCTCTACCTCCGGGGTGCAACGATACTCTAATCACTCTTATACCCAATGTGGCCTCCCCAGAAAGCGTGAGACAACTGAGGCCTATAGGACTATGCAATGTCTCATATAAATTGCTCACTAAAGTCATGTCGCGAAGGCTCAAAAATATTTCGAAGAAGCTCATAGGACCTCACCAGTCTAGCTTCGTGCCGGGGAGGCAAATCGCAGACAACATCCTGACCTACCAAGAAGTGTTAAACTCCATGAATAACAAAAAAGGCGTGTCTGGGTGGATGATCATGAAGGTAGACTTAGAAAAAGCCTATGATAGGTTAGCTTGGAATTTTATCCAAGATACACTTGAGTTGACAGGGATGAATCAAAACTGGACGCGTAATATTATGAACTGTGTTACTAAATCTCGGCTAGCTCTAACCTGGAACGGGAAGAGGACTGATTGGTTCACCCCAGGAAGAGGAATACGGCAAGGAGACTCCATCTCCCCTCTCCTCTTTGTGCTATGCATGGAAAGATTGAGTTACCTCATCCAGGAATCGGTCTCGGCGGGGCGATGGAAAGGTATAAAAATATCAAGACATGCTCCTCATGTTTCCCACTTATTTTTTTGCAGATGACTTGGTGCTTTTTGGAGAGGCTACAGTGGAGCAAGCAGTAGAAATGCGAAGCTGCTTGGACAAATTCTATGACAACTCTGGCCAGAAGCTTAGTTTAGACAAGTCTTCTCTCTTCTTTTCTAAGAACTTGACAACAGCACTGAAACGTAGCATTGAGGAGGCCACAGGGATTTCCCACGTCACGAACATGGGGAAATACCTGGGAATGCCCTCATTCCATGGCAGAGTTAAATCGGAATCGTTTGCGGGAATCATTGAAAGAATTCAAGATCGATTGGCTGGTTGGAAGTCTCAAACCTTATCCTTGGCAGGAAGGCAAACACTAGCTCAATCAGTGCTATCATCAATTCCATACTACTCCATGCAGACCTCTTTATTACCTTCTGGAGTACTCAACAGCATTGAAAGAATCATCCGGAATTTCCTATGGGGCAGCAAAGAAGGGGAAAGAAAATGTCATCTCGTAAGGTGGGAGGTGGTAACTAGAAACAAATCCTTAGGTGGTATGGGTATCAAAAAGCTTGAGCCGATGAACCTTGCATTCTTAGCAAAGCTAGGATGGAGGTTACTGCAAGGGGATGACAGCTTGTGGCCACAACTATTCAAGGCAAAGTATGGAATTTCCTCTACTGATTGTTCAACTTGGAAACCTAAGGGTAATATGTCAAATGCATGGAGAGGTATTCTTAAGTCTGTTCCAATACTACAGAAAGGAATCAAGAAACAGATCAGAAATGGCGTTAACACCTCATTTTGGCTCGAACCTTGGCTCGAAAGTAGGCCTCTTATTGAACTCGCGAAAACCCCTCCTGGCCCTGAAGACTTAAACAGATCAGTGGCAAGCTTCTGGAACGTTAATCTCGGATGGGATTGGTCGTATCTGGAGTCTAAGCTACCACCCGAAGTTCTAAACAAACTTGCAGCCATCTTCATCTATGACGACAATGAAGCATACGACATCATGGGCTGGAATAACAACCCCTCTGGAAACTTCACGGTGTCCTCTGCCTATGATCTGGCCACTAATGAATCGGAAATTCTGGCTGCATCCAAGTGGAATAGCATTTGGAGACTCAAGGTCCCGAACCGCATCCGCACATTTCTTTGGTTGGTTAACCACAACAGAATTATGACGAACCAAAATAGGTTGAAACGTGGCTTCACAGACGTAGGTGCATGCCCTATATGCACGAACATAACCGAGGACACTGAGCACGTCCTTCGCCTCTGCCCAGTCGCGGATGCAGTCTGGAAGGAAGTTTTGGCATCCCGTTACGATTCCTTCGCAAACCTCCCTTTTTCAACCTGGCTGAAGAGAGGCATCTCAGAAGACGGTAATGGCAGATCTCCCCATAATTCCAATGTCTTGTTTGCAACGACATGTTGGTGGTTATGGAAGTGGAGAATGAATTCACCTTCGAAGGCTCAACCAGACCAAACAGCTCCAAAATCCTCTAGATCCGAGCACAGGTTGAGGAAACCAGAAAAGCTTTCTCAAATTCAAACACGCTCTTTCACCCAGCCAACAATTCTTCATGGAAACTACTTTGCTGGGAAAAACCCCCAGAGGACTTCGTCAAGATTAATGTGGACGGAGCAGTAAATGCCGATAACAAAGCAAGTTGCGGAGGAGCAATCAGAGATCACAACAGCGAATGGTGCGCTGGCTTCACTTTCTCCATTGGGAACTGCTCACCCTTCGAAGTTGAAGCCCGGGCCCTCCTGAAAGGCATCCTTCTAGCAATCGAGCATGGTCATAACAAGGTAATCTTCGAGTCAGACTCAGAAGAAGTGGTAAAATACATGAACGGATCCGGACCTCCACGCATCTCGGCGCATAATATCCTGGAAGCTTGTAGAAAAGAACTTAGAAGATTTGAAGTCTGGCAGATTATGGCAGTACTTCATGAGCAAAACCGAGTAGCCGATTGCCTGGCCAAACTCCATAGAGACCTTCCGAAAGGCATACAAGTGTTAGC